GTGTAACCAGGCACGGCCTGACTATAGCTATAACCACTTGTCTCATAGGACTGTGATGATGAGTTAGCATAGAAAGCGTTTAGGAAAGTGCCCTGCCACAGAGGAAGCTTGTAAATGTCAGCTTTCCTTGTTATATTTGCCTTTAGTTTTCCTATTTTGGCCTGGGTCAATGAAAACCTTACCATAGGCCAGCACCTGTCCAGAGACTCGATTTAGAAACCAACAGATTAGACAACTGCTTTCTCCCCCTTAAACTCCTGTGGCAGTCTCTCTTTTCTTTTTTTTTAAGACACAGTTTCACTCTGTCACCCAGGCTGGGGTGCACGGGCATGATCTTGGTTCCCCGTAACTTCTGCCTCCCAGGTTCAAGTGATTCTCGTGCTTCAACCTCCCCAGTAGCTCAGATTACAGGCGTGCGCCACCACACCCCGTTAATTTTTGTATTTTTGAGATGGGGTTTCACTATGTTGGCCAAGCTGGTCTTGAACTCCTGACCTCAAGTGATCCGCCCACCTTGACCTCCCAAAGTGCTGGGATTACAGGCGTGAGCCACTGTGCCTGACCTAGCAGGCTCTTTTTAAAAACTTAGTTTTGAATGAGTTTTTAAAAGTTTCAACTTTTAATTATACACATTATTTTCTGACAATATCACTTTCTTTCTCAAGCTATTTTTAAGCTCAGGAACAGACAGCACAGCTAGCACTGTTTTATTACCAAGACTCTAGCTCTCATGACAGCCATGGCCTCAAAACATACTTGTGGGCTGCCACCTGATGTGCGCTCCAGTCTTCCTAACCAGAAACTGGGGGCAGCCCTGGCCTGCAGGGCCTGGTAAGTTCACCTGGCCCACACTTGGGAGTGGATTCACATGCATGCCACTCCAAGGCATACCCTTCGACCGTAACAACATAAACAACAACTGTCAACACTTACACAGCACTTACTGCGTGCGCCTGTCCCTGTGGCGCACTTTCTATATATGTGCTCATCTAATTTCCACAGCACTTTCTATATATGTACTCATCTAATTTCCACAGCACTCTATGTTTTTCACATGTGAGCAAAAGTAACCAAAGACAGAGGCAGAACTTGAGAATACCGAAGTCTAGGTATGATGATGATGATGACGCCTATATACAAAAGAGGCAACTGAGACACTGGGACACCAAATAACTTGGTCAAGGTTGCGCAGCCAGTAAGTGGCAGAGCTTGGGTTCAACCCAAGCAGTTCAAGCAGTTTAATGCGTAGATTCTAGAATTCAACCCAGGCGGCTGAATTCTGGAATCTAGGCATTATATCTCTTAAGGCCAGAGCTGAGAAATCTGTGGAGATAGATCAGTGTGGAATTCTCCTTTGCCAAAAGGTGGGGCAACTAGGCAACATACCCTGCCTTCACTGAGTATCGGAGCTTGAAGATAACCTGGGCTTTAATACAACACAGCAGCAAGTGTCACTCCCCTAAATGACACACCATAATTACATCCTTTTAGGTAAGTGCTCAAACAGGATTTGATAGTATCTTACCGAAGCAGTTCATCCTGGACTTCAATCATACGCTGCCTTTTCTTTTCGATATCTGAAATCATCTAAGTAACACAATCATTTGTGTTAAAATTAATTTGTAACTGTTTGAGCACTGCCACATACGCTGCCAGGTAATGAAGTGCAGTGGAAAACAAGACAGATCCAATTCTTACCATCACAGACTTTGGTCTAATGGGGAAGACAGACATTACACAGAAACAATATGTATTTACAACCTGTGATATGTGCTATAAAGGAAAAGAAGAGAGAACTCTGGAAAAGAAAAGCAGGGGTATCTACTTCAGAATGACCAGAGGAAAGCAGGAGGAAAGCAGGGGCCAGGTCTTTACTGGACCCTGTGACCTCTAAAGTGAGGAGATTTTATCTAGGTGCACTAGGAAACTATCAAAGCAGGGGAGTGTTGTGATCCACTCTGTATTTTAAAAGGAACATTTCAATGTATTTTATTATCTCGGTCATCGAGTCACTTTTAGTGACTACGTAATACTCCACTGTTAGACATTCATAATGTTCCCATTCGGTAATAAGTAATGCAGAAATGACCAATAAAAGATTAAAACTGAAAGAAAAACAAAAACATCCCAGAGCTTGCAATCACTGGAAGGAAACTGTATGTATTTCAAGTCTAGTTCTATTTTAAATGCAGAGGTGGACTTCCACTCCTGGATTCACCTCTGACGCTCAGAGGCATTTGGTCCAGCCGTTTCCAGGTAAGCAAAGGAGACTCTCGTGTTGGCTGGCTTGTCGCCCACTGCAGACCCAGTGGTGTATAGTTTATAGGTGGTATAGCAATGAAGCAACAGAGCCAGGACTAGACATGAGGTCTCCTGACCCTTAACCCAGTATTCTTCCCAGGCTGTCCTACCTGGGACAGTTCTTTATTCTAAAAGGTTGTGCTTTTCGACGTCCGCAAAAGCAATAAATATATATTAATATTTATCCATATAAGTGGTCATTTTGGACTTGGTAGTCTTTTAAAAGCTAACTTTGTGACATTAATAAAAGGCTTAAATTTCTGTCTTTAATTATAAAAACAATTATTTTGACACTTGTGCAGCCTTAGGAAACAAAAGTGACTAGGATCCTCATTCCTTACCTTGCATTAATAATACCAACCATACCAACCATGAGATCAACCAAATAAAAGCCTGACAAGATTATGAAATCTACTCACACTCTAAAGGCTGTAAACCCAGAGTCAAGTCTTCACATAACTCTACATGTTAGTATTGACTCTATGACTCTAATCACATACATCATTTACCTTAGCATTCTTCCTTTTCAGATTTTTCAACATCTGGCTTTCTTTAAGCTACACAAAACAAAAAATACATATGTACATTATTCTCCAAAAGTAAATGTTAGTTTCACATGTATCACATTCAGTTAAAAACAGTTATGTGGAATATGAACAGTTCTAATGAGTTTATTACCATACTGCCAACAAATGCAAGCTTTTCTAAGACAACAATATGCTGCTTCAGGATTAGTGAAAAAAACCTTAGACCAACAAATTCATGTCAGTGAGCTTACCAGTTTGATGACTTGTTCTTTAACATTAACGTATAATGTGTCGATGGCTGCCCTACAAACTTTAGATTCTGTTCTTTCTCTGTAGAGGAATTAAAAAAAAAAGTCTAAGTACCATGATGGATTTTGAAAGGTGTTTCATTTGCTTAGCATATAAACAAACATGTACATACAATTTGGCATATACCTTTTTTATTTTAAAAAATCTTTAATCTCATTTTTTTATAATTTCAATTTTTTAGATTAAGGGATTTGTTATATGGGCATACTGCATGACACTGAAGTCTGGGGTACAACTGACCCCATCACTCAGGTAGCGAGCATGATACCCAACAGGTTGTTTTTCAGTCCTTGAATCCCTATTCCCTCTAGGAATCTCCAGGATCTACTGTTGCCATCTTTATGTCCATGTGTACCCAATGTTTAGCTCCCACTTATAAGCGAGAACACGCAGTATTTGGTTTTCCGTTCCTACAATAATTCACTTGGGATAATGACTTCCAGCTGCATCCATATTGCTACAAAGGACATGATTTTGTTCTTTTTTATAGCTGTGCAGTATTCCATGGTCTACATATACCATATTTTCTTTATCCAACCCACAGTTGATGGGCACCTAGGTTGATTCTGTCTTTGCTATCATGGATAGTGCTGTGATGAACATATGAGAACACCATTTTAACTAAGATGGCAATGTTCAGCCTGAAAAAAATACTGGAAACACGTATCAGCAAAAGAAAAAGAACAAATACATTTTTCTGTAAGCCCTCTGGTACGGGGTCATCTTAATTCCCTGATACTAAACAACCTCACAGGTGATACCAAGTAAGGTAGAAATGCTTATGGCTAATCCCAGTCTTTTCCTACTACCTGAAAGACCCAGTAGACTTTATTCCCTCCCTCTCTGCCTGTTAGCAAAAGGAGGAGCAACTGTGTAACACATTTGGACTAGCCAAAAAGTAGCCATAAATCAGGTGATAGTTCTTCAGAAACTATAAAACTGACTAAAAGAAACTGCCTCCGGTCTCTGTCGCTGGGAAGAAGAGATCTGGTGGCCAGTCTCTGATTCTTCTGGCTTGGCTCACTCACCCATTAAGATGGCTATTATTTTAAAAAACAGAAAACAACAAGTGTTGGTGAGAAAGTACAGAAATAGGAACCCCTGTGTTGCTGGTGGAAATGTAAAACGATATAGTCACTGTGGAAAACAGTATTGGCAGTTCCAAAAAAAACAAAAAATAAAATAAATTAATTAAACATAGAATTACCACATGATCCAGCAATTCCTCTTCTAGGCATATACACAAAAGAATTGGAAGCATGGACTTGAATATCAATTGTACATCAATGTGTGTAGCAGCATTATTCACAATAGCCAAAAGGTGGGAACTACTCAAGTGTCCACTGATAGATGAGTGGATAAAGAGAATGTGTTAAAATCATGACCATATAACAATGTCTCAGTCAACAATGGATGGCACATACAATGGTAGACCCATAAAACAATGGAGCTAAAACTATCTTATCACCTAGTGACACTGTTGCCATCAAAATGTCATAGCACAATGCATTATTCACATACTTGCCGCGATGCTGGTGTAAACAAACCTATAGTGTTGCCTAGTTGTGTATATAGTTAGGTATACTGCATAAAACTTGATAATAAATTACCAAGTGCCCCAAACAGGTATAACATTTTTTATCTTTTATTTATTTTTTTTTGAGATAAGGTCTCATTCTGTCACCCAAGTTGGACTGAGTAGTGTGATCATGGCGCACTGCAGCCTCAAACTCCTCGACTCCAGTGATCCTCCTGCCTCAGCCTCCCGTGTAGCTGGGATTACAGACATATGCCACCATGCCTGCCTAATTTTTAACTTTTTTGTAGAAAATGGGTCTCATCATGTTGCCCAGGCTCATTTTTTATCTTTTATACCATATTTTTACTGTACCTTTTCTATGTTTAGATACACAATTTACCATCATGATACAATTACCTACAGTATTCAATACAGTGACATAGTATTGAATGAACTTGCTGTCCAAGTGTGTATCCTGGGAGGAACAGGCAACACATCATATAGCCACGGCATGTACTAGGCTACACCATCTAAGTTGGTGTAAGTACACTCTACGTTAACACAATGACAAAACTGCCTAAGGATGCAGTTCTCAGAACACATCCCTGTTGTTAAGTGACATGAATGGGTATTCATATGACTGAATATGATTCCACCTTAAAAAGTAAATTCTGACACATGCTATGACATGGGTGAGCCTTGAGGACACCATGCTGAGTGAAATAAGACAGTCACAAAAGGACAAATATTGTATGATTCCACTCATATGAGGTACCCAGAGCAGTTAGATTTACAGAGACAAAGTAGAATAGTGATTGCTGGGGGAGGGAGGAATGAGGAGTCATTGCTCAAATGGGTACAAAGCTACCATTTCATAAGGCTTTAGTTCCAGAGATGGGTTGCTTAACAAAGTGCACACAGTTAACACACAATAAAGAGAAAATATTTCTACACTTCACACCTATCATAATGGCTAAAATAAAAATTAGTGAGAACACCAAATGCTGGCAAGGATGCATAGAATCTGGATCATACACTGTGGAAAACAGTCTGTCCCTTACAAAACTGAACATGCAATTACCATATAACCCAACAACTGCACTCTTGGGCATTTATCCCAGAGAAATGGAAGCTCAGGTTCAAACAAAAAAATGTATACAAATGTTCACAGCACTGTGTGTGTAACAGCCCAAAACTAGAAACAACCCAAATTCCTTCAACGGGTGAATGTCAAACCATGGTATATCCATACCATGGAAGCTACCTAGCAATGTAGTGGAATGGAATCATACAACAGCTTGGATGAATCTCCAAGGCATTATGCTGAGTGGAAAAAAGCCAATCCCAAAATGTTGCACACTATAGAGTTTCATTTATATAACATTCTTGAAATGATGAAATGACAGAAACGGAGAACAGGTTAGTGGTTTCCAGGGCTTGGGGCTGTGGGTGTAGCTATAAAAGGGCAACATGAGGACAGACGGGGCATGAGAACACAAGAATTCTGGCGGTGATGCAATACACAAACCTATACATATGATAAAATCCCTATATTATTCCTCACAACTGCATGTGATTCTACAATTATCTCAAAAGAAGACATTTAATTAAAAAAAAAAAGTTGTAACTTGTTATTACACATTGAACTAAACAAAAAAAATCATGAATAATGAGGTATTTCTATAGATGCATGTTCATAGCAACATTATTCACAACAGCCAACAGGTGGAAGCAACCCAAGTGTCCGCTGATGAATGAATGGGTAAACAGTGAATGGAAGAATGGTCATCTGTGTACACACAAACACAGCCTTAACAAAGAAGGAAATTCTGATGTATGCTATCACACAGATGAGCCTTGAGGACATGCTAAGTGAAATAAGTCAGTCACAAAAAGACAAATACTGGATGGTTCCATTTATGTGAAGTATTCGAAGTAGTCAAATTCATAGAAACAGAAAGTAGAAGGGTGGTTGCCAAGCACTAGAGATGGGGTGAAGAATAGAACATTGTGATTTAATGGGTGCAGAATGTCAGTTGTGCAAGATAAAGAAGTTCTGGAGACTGGTAGCACAACAACATGAATATACTTAACACTACTGACCTGTGCACTTAAAAACACTTAATGGCAAATTTTATGTTATGTGTATTTTAGCACAATTAAAAATTTACATAGGTCCCACTTAAAAAAAAAAAAGAATTTCTAATGCAATATAAATATCAAATCATTATTTTCAGATGTTAGAATATTTTTTAAATATAGCCAGTCATCATGGCACATGCTTGTAATCTCAACTACTCTGAAGGCTGAGGTGGGAGGATCCCCTAAACCCAGGAGTTGGAGACCAGCCTGGGCAACACAGTGAGACCCCATCTAAAGAAATTTTTTTTTTTTTTTTTTTTAAATAAGAAAAGCTGGTCAGGCCTCTCCGCATATGGCTTGTAATGATAAATCGATAGATTCTTTCAACTACAAAGGTGATGGTCTACACAAGACAGCTCTTCCAAATTCTAGCAACTTAAACATCTGGCAAAATTCAATTAATTGAATCAGCTATAGAATATTCTAAGCGTTTGTAATGTTGCATTTCATGACATACTTCCCTACTTATACATAAACTGCTTATCGTCAGTTTATACTGATATAACAGTGAAGCTATTCAGGTCTGAGTGCTAGGTACAGGATATTAAAAACAGACCCTTAAATAGTTGTTGACTTAATTTTGAAAGAGTGAAGTGTTTCACGTGGCTGAGAACACCACATTGTCAAGGAAACAAAATGAGATCAGTGATTCACCAGAATTATTTGGTATGACAAAAATACAAAGTTGTACTGCAATGTTATATAAGTCTAAGAAAAATACTATGCCTCTTCTAAATCATTTCTTATATCAAGAACTTACTACCCACTGCAGCAACTCAGACCTCTGTCCCTGTGTCCTTACTACCCACTGGGTAGTAAGTTCTTGACATAAGAAATGATTTAGAAGGGGACAATGCCATTTTCCCTAAAACATCAGAAATCTATAATAAGCTTCCTATAAGAGATTTGTGAATAGGAAAAGGATAACACAAGCAAGATGGTCTTGGGTGTGTTAACTGTGCTAGTTTTAACAGGAAACTGGCTCTGGAATATACAGAAGAGTAAAACAGGTACCTCCCACAATGATGATGATGAATTGGCATGACAGGCTGGCTCCTTTCCCCAAGCTCACCCAGAACTACAGAGGGAATACCACAGAGAAAATGGAGAAAGCTGTGAAAACCCTGAGGGTGAGGTCATGTAGAGAGGATGACTGCTGTGAGGAGTGGCGCTGTGGCCAGGGCAGGAATAGACAGCTGTGGGAAACTGACTCCTGCCTCTTCCCATCACCGATCTCATCAACAGTGTGCCTGCTCCACCCCCGCTCCCCTGCCCCCTGCAGCAACTTAGACCTCGGTCCCTGTGTCCTCATCAAGACTGAAACTGGGGTTGGACTTGGGCCTAGAGAAAAACATGGGAGGCTGACTGACTTTGGGCAGCTGTTTCCTCACCCTTCCCCGGTCAAACCCCCATGCTGGAGAATGATGACCCACAGAGTCCATCTTTTCTTCCTGCTGCTCCTCTCTGGAGGGTGAGGAGTGAAGTACTGACCTGACAGGCTGTTTTGTGAGATGAGTAGCTGAGGCTGCCCACCCTAGGGCTTACCCCACCCCCTGCACTCACAGGCACTAACAGAGACTGGAGTTTGGCCTTCTTCTGTACATACTGTCTGACAGAAAGGGACAGGCCCAGGGGAAAATAAACTCAGAGACTGGAATAACAAGATGCTGGAGGAACCCAACCATTTCAAAAGGAAAACACATATTATATCCGAAACCTTACCAGAGCAGGTATTTTAGAATAGCTGATCCAATAATTTGAAATTAGCCCAACAGATATTCTAAGGAAGATATTAGCAGCATAAAACACGAATACAAGACACAAAAAAAGCAGCAGAAATAGCTGGACATGATGGCTCACACCTGTAATCCCAGCACTTTGGGAGGCAACAGTGGGTGGATCACTTGAGGTCAGGAGTTAGAGACCAGACTGGCCAACATGGTGAAACCCCGTCTCTACTAAAAATACAAAAAATTAGCTGGGTGTGGTGGTGGGTGCCTGTAATCCCAGCTACTAGGGAGGCTGAGGCAGGTGAACTGCTTGAACCTGGGAGGTAGAGGTTGCAGGGACTGAGATTGCACCACAGCACTCTAGCCTGGGTGACAGAGTGAGACTCCATCTCAAAAAAAAACCAACAAAACAGAAAACAAAAAACAAATATAATAGAGAACTCAACAGATGGGACAAATGGCAGACTGGATATTTCTAAGAATAAATTAGAAAATCTAATTTCTTAGATTGAGGAAATCTCCCAGTGAATGAAGCAAAGGATAATAAGATAACAAAAAAGAAAATTAGGATAAAAATATTTTAAATTCTTAGAATTAAAAAAAGTAATTTGTTCAGCAGCAATAGATTAAAAAAAATTTTTTTTTAAACCTTGGAATGAAAAGGTCAGGCTCAATATAGTGAAATTTAAGAATATCAAAGAAACAAAATAACAGTTGAGAGAGCTAAACAACAGATCACATTCAAAGAAATAAGAATTAGATAGACATCAAATTTTCCAAAAGCAACACTCGATGTAAAAGAATATAAAGTTTCCAAAGTATTTAAGAAAATAATTTAGAACATAAAATATTATATCCAGCTAAGCTGTCATTCAAATTCAAGGGTATAATAAAAATAATCAGAAGGTTTAGAAGTTTTACAACATAAAGAGCCACACTGTGGTGGTGGGTGAAATATTTAAATAAGAGAAAATACTTATCTACAGGATATTGCAAGAAAATATCTGAGATAAAAGTGATCAAATACCTAAGTAAACTTTGTTATTGTCTTAAAAACAGAGACAAACACACACAACAGAAGGGGAAATTCTATCTACCTTAATTTAGAATTAAAGGTGGTGAGTTATAAATACAATTTTTTTAAGTTAAAAAAAATTCAGAACATCAAAAAGTAGAATAAAAAAGTAACAATATATTAACATATTGTTCAAGATATATCAATAATTACAATAAATGCTAATGGACTCAACTCGAGTTGAAATTCAAAGACTGATACACTGGATTTAAAAAGACGAATAAAGAAATAAAAATTTAAGGTAGCAAAAAGGTTGGAAGTAAAAGAAATTAAAAAGAATGTAAAATCTGGCCAGGCGCAGTGGCTCACGTCTATAATCCCAGCACTTTGGAAGGCCAAGGTGGGCAGATCACGAAGTCAGGAGATCGAGACCATCCTAGCCAACATGGTGAAACCCTGTCTCTACTAAAAATGCAAAAATTAGCTGGGCATGTTGGCACACACCTGTAGTCCCAGCTACTTAGGAGGCTGAGGCAGGAGAATTGCTTGAACCTGGGAGGTGGAGGTTGCAGTGAGCCGAGATCTCACCACTGTACTCCAGCCTGAGGACAGATCGAGACTCCATCTCAAACAAACAAAAAAAAATCTGGCAAATGCTAGCAAAAGAAAACTATGATGCATATTAGTATCAGGTAAAATAAATTTTAAGACAAAGTATGTTTAGGAATAGAGTGCGTGACCAACTAAAATGTTCAGTCTGCAAGACAGAGCAATTTTACACACGATTTTCCTAATAGTCTCTAAACATATACAGCACAAATGAATAGAAGTACCAAGAAATACTGAACATAGATCCAATAATTAGAGTCTATCTAGATCCAATGATTAGAAATTGCACACAGATCATGTACCAGGTCATAAAGAAAGCCTCAAAATTTAAAAAAAAATATATATATATATATATCACCAGACCATGATCTTTGACCACAACATATTTAAGATAGAAGGTTAATACACAAATATAAATTTAAAAGTCTACATATTTGGGACATTTAAAAACATATGAATTCAAAGAATTAAAGAAACAATTATAATAAACGTAAAAATATCTAAAACAATGACAATGAAAATAGTACATAACAAAACTGTATGATGAGCAAAAACAGTGCTTCAAGGGAAATTCATCAGGTAAATACACCACATCAAAAGACTTACTTATGCTCTAGGTGGGTTTTCTCAAATTCAGGCAAAACAATATTCAACTCTTTGATGTCACTGGTTTTCATTCCTTCTAGACACCAAACGTCCACAGTGTCAGAAGTATCTAGAATATTAAGATAAGTTAATATGCTGGTTATTCATATTTTGGCTGTAGGTCCAGGGTTCTGAAAGCCTGCCACAAAAATAGTCTCACCAAATTGTAAAAGATAGCTACAGCTGAACAATCAGACAGGAGGCGCCGTACTCACTTCTTACCCCTGTGCACAGTCTTGCAAACCCCTACATATACTTTCACTTTAACTGCTATCTTGCTGGTTCTCCTACTTTTGCTAAAGCAACCAAAAGCATTGCTGCCTTTTAATCACCTTACTCTATCTTTATTTAGTAGTGTGCTGTTATTTAACATCACTGGGGATAAGCTCTTCATTGTTAGCTGTATTTTCTGAATTTTAATCTATCTGATAGGCCTTTAATAATCTTGTAGGATACAGCAAGATTATTCAGTGTATTAATTTAAATAATTGTAGTAATATACAGTACTATCCCACACAGGGATCTGAAGACAGATCTTGGTTCTAGTTTGAGCTTCTTTCTTACTAGTCATAAGATCTCAGGCAAGTCAGTTAACCTTCCAGAGACCATTTCCTCAATGATAAATGGAATAAAAGAATGCTCTCCTTTTTATTATGAGGCTCAAGCAAGAAAATATCTGTGAATGCATTTATAAAAACTATAAAATACTATACATCTGTAAGGTGTTATTATCAATTTCCAAAGCATACCTCAATTTTTTTTCTTTAAAAAAATTTTTTTTGAGACAGGGTCTCACTCTGTTGTCCAAGCTGCAGTGCAGTAGCATGCTCAGCACTCATTACAGCCTCGAAGTCCTAGGTTCAAGTGATCCTCCCACCTCAGTCTCCCAAACAGCTGAGACTACAAGTGTATGCCACTATGCCTGGCTAGTTCTGAAAATTTTTTGTAAAGGTGGGGTCCCACTATGTTGCCCAGGCTGGTCTTGAACTCCTGGGCTCAAGCAGTCCTCTCACCTCAGCCTCCCAAAGTGCTGGGATTACAGGTGCACCCATCATTCTCGGCCCCCAGTTTTCTGTATGTTAACAGAAGCCATTGGCAGGAAAGTCTACTCTTCTTCCATAATTCTTTGTTTAATACTACAAAACTGACAAACATACTGAGAGTTTGTCTTCAGATTCACAATGACCTGAGTGCAACTCTTGGCTCTGGTGGATTAGTAACAGCCACCAATTCTTTCCCACTCTTCCCTACTTCCATTCCCTTGAATCTGGGATAGCCCCCTATAACCGGCTTGATCAACAGAGCATGAAGGAGTGAAAGGCCAGGTCTCAGGGTATCTGCAGCTTCTGCTTTACACCTCCTGCAATGCTCCCTCTTGGACATCAACTGTCACATGAAATTCTGACTACTGAACAACAGGCAAACCCAAGCTAGCCACTTAAAAAGAGGCCACATGCAGGAGGAACAAGGCACCAGATAGATGAAAACAGTCATCTTAGACCTTCCACCCTAGCTCAGCCATTAAACGAACAGAATTGCCCAAAGCAAAACTGTAAGCAAATAAAACAATGGCCATTGTCAATCAGGGGCTGGCAAACTTCAGTGAAGTGCCAGATGGTAACTACTGTTGGCTTCATGGGCCAACTGTTCAACTCTGCCATTGTAGTGTGAAGGCAGCCACAAACAATCCACAGAAGAGTGAATCTGGCTGTGATCCAATAAAAGTTCATTTTCAAAAACAGGCAATGGACTAAATTTGAATTGTAGATATAGATTTTTTTTTTTTTGAGACAGAGTTTTGCTTTTGTTGCCCAGGCTGAACTCTGCTTCCCAGGTTCAAGTGATTCGCTTATCTCGCCCTCCCGAGTAGCTGGGATTTACGGGCATGTGCCACCATGCCTGGCTAATTTTTGTATTTTCAGTAGAGACGGGGTTTCACCATGTTGGTCAAGCTGGTCTCGAACTCCTGACCTGAAGTGATCCACCCACCTTGGCCTCCCAAAGTGCTGGGATTACAGGTGTGAGCCACCGTGCCCAGCCTACACATAGTTTTTAGATTAGTAAGTTTTAAGATAGTTTGTTAGGCATTAATACACCCAAAACACTGGCTGAACCCACTTATGGCTGTGTAAGCTCAGACAAGTTTTTTAACCTAAGACCTCAATTTTCTCACCTGTAAAAATGGGGGAAATAATATCTATACTTCAAAGGTTTATTATAAGAATGAGAGAGAAGATAACATTAAACACTCAGTATAATGACTGGCACATAGTAAATACTTTGCTGTCTTTGTTGCTACTAATTTATAAAATAGAAACAGTAGGAACAGAAGTTAGTAAAAAGTATTCCAATAATACTTCCAGACCAGACCCATAACACTGTTACCCACAATTCTGCCACCACCCCAATATACATAAATCCCTACTCACCTAAACTCAGCTCACCATGATTTTTAGAAAAACCAGTGATCTGCAAAAAGTAGTTCTGCATTTTATTTATTTATTTATTGAGACAGAGTCTCGCTTTGCCGCCCAGGCTGGAGTACAGGGGCACGATCTCAGCTCACTGCAAGCTCTGCCTCCTGGGTTCACGCCATTCTCCTGCCTCAGCCTCCCGAGTAGCTGGGACTACAGGCTCCCGCCACCATGCCCGGCTATTTTTGTATTTTTGGTAGAAACAGGGTTTCACAGTGTTACCCAGGATGGTCTGGATCTCCTGACCTCGTGATCCGCCCGCCTCGGCCTCCCAAAGTGCTGTGATTACAGGCGTGAGCCACTGCACCTGGTCTAGTTCTGCTTTTATAAAAGACACAATATCTAAAGGTCTTATTAGTTTAAATAAAATCTTCCTTAAGCTCTCAGGACCAACAGATTTTTTTTTTTTTTAAGTTTAATTAAGAACCGTATATCCAAGCTATCTACTCTTACTGAACATAACATTTATTTTGGCATCAGAATTGATCTATGATGAGTTATTTTATACACGACAACATTTATATATGCATAATATACATATGCATAATAAAAGGGTTGCCCATAGGACCACAGTACAACTTAAGAAGGAGAGCACTGGTCAGGTGCGGTGGCTCACACCTATAATCCCAGCACTTTGGGAGGCTGAGGTGGATAGATCACCTGAGGTCAAGAGTTCAAGACCAGCCTGGCCAATATGGTGAAACCCCCTCTCTATTAAAAAAAAAAAAAAAAATCAATCAAAAAATTAGCCAGGGAGTAGTGGCGGGCGCCTGTAATCCCAACTACTCAGGAGGCTCAGGCAGGAGAATTGCTTGAACCTGGGAGGCAGAGGTTGAAGGAAGCTGAGATTGTGCCACTTCACTGCAGCCTGGGCGACAAGAGCAAAACTCGGTCAAAAAAAAAAGAGAGCATTAATAAGACACTGGAAGCACTCTGCGTACCTGACTCCAATGCCTTCTGAACTTTGTGTTTATCATCATATTACTCTTTGTTATAATTTTATTGTACACAAATATATTCCTAAACAATGTGGAGTTTAGAATGTTTTTGACCTTTTTACAATTGCTAATGCACCGGTAAAAGTTCTGCTTTTGTATTCCACTCCATACGTACACAGCAATTTATCTATCAATTCTAATGTGATAAGTTGTTTGCAGTACTTTGCTAGCATGAAAGACAATGCTAAGAGCACTCATACACATGATACACAGACACGTTCAAGAATTCCTCTAGTAAATACACCCACCAGCAACTGCTAGGTTTCAAAGTCTGCATGTTTTTTCAACTTTGCCAGAGAATGGCCAAAATTATTTTCAAAGTGCTTATATTTCTTCATATCTGCAGTGATTAAGGATCTCTACTGGCGACATCCTCATTAAATATGGACTCTTGAGAGGCTAAAATATGTGTCAAACTAGGAGGTGCAGAGGAGTGTCTCACTGTAGCTGTGAATTTAAATTTCTGTGATTAGGAATGCACTCCCTCCAAATGTTTATTTTACTATTTCCTCTTCTGTAAAAATGTTGGTGTCATCTGCCCATTTTTCTACTAAGTTGTCTTTTTATTGATACTCCTTTATTTTCTCTAAAAATTGTCCAATTGTACCTGTCATATTTAAGACTTCAATTCAGAACTTTTTTTGTGTGCTGCAAGTCAGAGGCAGTCTCATTTCATTTTTCTACAGGGAAAACACTGTCACAGAACCACCTTTCCCCACTGACCAGCAGCCAACATTTTTGTCATACATTCATCAAGTTTCCATATATGCAGGGTCTCTTTTCTGGTCTATCTTTTGGTGTCACGGTCCCTAAGATTAGAATTAAATGTCTGTTAGACCAGGGGTCCCCAAGCCCCCGGTCACAGACCCGTATCAGTTTGTGGCCTGTTGGGAACTGGGCCACACAGCAGGAGGTGAGTGGCAGGGTGGGGGGGGCGAGTGAGCATGACCACCCGAGCTCCACCTCCTGTCAGAGTAGTGGTGGCATTAGACTCTCATGGGAGCACGAACCTCATTGTGAACTGCACATGTGAGGGATCTAGGTTGTGAGCTCCTTTTGGGAATCTAACGCCGATGATCTGAGGTGGAACAGTTTTATCCCAAAACCATCTCCAATCCTCGTCCACGCAAAAATTGTCTGCCATGAAACCAGTCCCTGGTGTGAAAAAGTTTGGGGACTGCTATATTAGACCTGCCTATAAAACTATATAGAATTGAGGAGTTTTTGTTAGTTTAATAGAAAAATTTTAAACTAGTGTTTGAATTTGATAGTTATAGGATTATTTCAGTTTTCTTCTTCAAAATCCAGCTTCATTAGCCTTGCATTTTTCTAGATATTTATGTGTTACAATATGGGGGAGAAAAGGATATCCCCTTTTCCTCTATTTTGGCGGGGTGGGTGGATTCACTTTTAAATTTTTGTTTTTAATTGACACATAGTAATTGTACATATTTATGGGTACAGTGTGATGTGTCAATACATATATGTATTGTCTAAAAAATCAAATTAGGGCATTCAGCATATCCATCACCTCATACATTTATCATTTGTTTGTGGTAAGAAGACTAAAAATCCTCTCTTCTAGTTGTTTTGAAATGTATAACACTGTTAACCATAGTCACCCTACTGTGCAAGAGAACACCTGAACTTATACCTATCTAATTGTAACTTTGTACCCGCTGACCAGCCTCTCCCTCTCCCCGCTCCCCACTAGCCTCCCCTATCTATTTTAAATTTATTCACATGAAGTTGTTCATTATATTCTTAGTAACATTTAAACTGTGCATTTAAACATTTAAACTTCTGGTAGGAGTATAAAATTATGTTATACAACCACTTTGGGAATGCAGTTTGCAAAGTTTGGCAGTTTCTTGTAAAATTAAACATATGCCTACCCTATGACTCAGCAACTTCACTCCTTTTTATTTACCCAAGAGAAATGAAAACATATGTTCACAAAGAAATGTGTATAAAAATGTTCACTGGCTGGTTGCAGTGGCTCACACCTGTAATCCCAGCACTTTGGGAGGCCAAGGCAGGTGGATCATGAGGTCAGGAGATTAAGACCATCCTGGCCAACATGGTGAAACCCCATCTCTACTAAAAATACAAAAAATTAGCCGGGCATGGTGGTGTGGGCCTGTAGTCTCAGCTACTCAGGAGACTGAGGCAGGAGATTCGCTTGAACCTGGGAGGCGGAAGTTGCAGTGAGCTGAGATCAAGCCACTGCACTCCAGCCTGGCAACAGAGCAAGACTCAGTCTCAACAACAACAACAACAAAAAGTTCACAGCAGCTTTATTCAAATAGCCAAAACCTGAAAACAACTCAGCTGTCCATCAGTAAGAGACTGGTCAACTGTGGTGTAATCACACAGTGGAATCAGCTCAGTAATAAAAATGATACCAAACAACATAGATGGATTGCAAAAAAACTACGCTGAGTGAAAGAAGCCTTACACAAAAGAGTACACACTATAAGATTCCATCTACACAAAATCCCAGAACAGACAAAACTAATCCATGGCAGAAAAAACATCCCTGAAGCCACTGCCTCCGGAGATATGGGGTGGGGACTGACATGAAAGAGGCATGGGGGAACTTTCTGGAGTAAAGACTTCACATGTTGACAGCAGCTTGAGTTACACATTGTACTGCATGTACATTTTACATTCAAAGAAAAAACTGTAAACACACTGAATTCCAGTTAATCATGTACATACTTAAGTATTCCAGAGGAAGTACTGATGTCTACATTATTTTAAAATGCCTTAAAAACTGAATTATTAATACTAACTTTACTACCTATCTAATAAAGTAAATAATAAAATGTTAACTGTAAAATCTAAGTAGTGGGTATATGAATATATAAATTTTTTTTCCATCTTAGTTGTATGCTGAAAATTTTCATGACAAAATGTTAGAAAAAATGTTACTTCAAAGTCACATATTCCTAATTTTTAAAAGTGGCAATTTTATGTACTTACAATTTACAACTATAACAAATTAAGAATAGGGTCTTATTTCTCTCATGAAATTCCTGAACGAGTGACAAAATATAAAACATCATTCTCTACCTGAGCCTACGGCTTTACTTCTTGATTTCTTCTTTTTGCCACGAGACATCTTCCCTTTTTTCTGAGTTTTCTACAAAAAAAAAAAAAAAAAGCATTAAGGTTTTAAGAAGTTTTCTTTCTCTTAAAACATAAGGATTAAGACTGTTACCAAACTGTCATTCAATATTTTAGCTGGGCATAGTGGCTCATGCCTGTAATCCTAGCACTTTGGGAGGCTGAGGCAGGCAGATCACTTGAGGTCAGGAGTTCCAGACCAGCCTGGCCAACATGGTAAAACCCCACCTCTACTAAAAATACAAAAATTGCCAGGGTGTGGTGGCGCACGCCTGTAGTCCCAGCTACTGGGGAGGCTGAGGCAGAAGAACTGCTTGAACCTGGGAGGAGTCAAAGGTTGCCGTGAGCTGAGATTGCACCACTGCACTCCAGCCTGGGTGACAGAGCGAGACTCCATCTCAAGAAGAAAAAAAACTTTAGCTATAATTCTCATTTAGTTGTAAAACAGATTAGTTATATAAATTATCTACATTAATATAAGGAAGCATTGCAAACAAAACCATCACAAAATAAGAGCAAATAAAACTTTCAGTTGACTTATAACAATTGTTGCCTTGATGGGAAAGTTGAACTTTTACTTAAGATAATAACATGTGGAATCAGCTCAAATTTCTGTTCCAGCTACGGTGAAGTAACAGCTTCCAAACTAGCTCTCTTGCCATAAACAACCATAAAATGGGGGAAAAGGGGTGGCAATTTTATTCAGGCATTGGACAATAGGCAATACAAGACTGAGTTCCAGGAGAAAGGGGAAACTTGGAAGGTGAACCCTATGACTACCACCCCCACTCCATGCACACAGAGTTTCTAAATGGGGTATAGTGAGCTGAAGTCTAAGCAGGGCATGACAATCCTACCCAGCTGAGAGGCACTTGGAATAAGCTGCTCAGGAGAGCACAGGTGCCTGTGGAACGGGGGTCCTAAGAGGCCTTGTCTAAGTACTGCCCATGTGCCGGGTGAGACCACATAAAGCCTACCAGAAAACGCTATCGTGAGGATAACAACATAGTTGATAATGAAGGGCAAGCAGCATTGGGGGCACAGGACAAGGTAAATGTACGTGGGAAAGAGACAACTCACGGCTCATCAGAAACCATGGAGACCAGAAGACAACAGAATGGTATAAAGAGCTGGGGAATAAATCTGTCAACTCAGAATTCCACAGCCAGTGAAATATCCTTCAAAAACAGAGTTGAAATAAAAACACTTTCAGATAAACAAAATCTGAGAGAATTTGTCACCAGCAGACCTGCCATGAAAGAAATGCTAGAAGATATTCTGTAGGCTGATGGAAAAGGTAACAGATGGAAACTAGTATCTATAGGCAGGCAATCAGTGAACTGGAGAGAGGAACTGGTAGAAGACTACAGAGCTGCTGCTTCTCATATTTTTTTTAAAAAAAACAACTCTTTCAAGCAGAAATGACAATACTGTAAGGTTAGATTTGTAACACAGAAGTAAAACAAGACAAAACAGCAGAGGATGGGGATGGATAAATAGAATTATACATAATATTGTTACGTAATTACATTTATGTAGTGGGAGGTAGTTAATTGTCAAGTAGAATGTATGAAGTGATAACACACTGATTCTAAATAGACTTTGCTAATTTAAGGATGTACATTTTTAACCCAGGAGCAACCACTGAAAAAAATTTAAAAAGGTATAGCTAAGAAGTCAATAGAGAAAATAAAACAGAATACAAAAACAATGTTCAACTAATCCAAAATCAGTTCTAAGAGAGACAGAAAACAGGAGCAAATGGAAAACAGAGTATGGTAGATGTGAACCTCACCATATTTAAAATTACATCAAAAGTCAATGGACTTTTAGCAGAAGTTAAAAAAATACCTCCTCTAAGTAACTGATAGATCAAGCAGACCATCCCCCATCACCAAAAACAAGAGTAAGGAGACAAAATCTCTGAACTACACTTGACCTCAACTGACATTTACAGAACACAACTGCAAATTCAAGTGCACATGGGATGTTCACCAAAACAGATCAACAACAGAGATCATAGTTTGCGTCAATTTGTGTAAAGACAGGAAATAAAAATAAGAATATACATTCATACTTGTTTACATGTACAAAAGGAAATTTGAAAGATATATAAGAAAGTATAAGGTTACCTGTGTGTATGTTTAGCAGGTGGAAAGGTGAAGAAGACAGGGTAGCAGGGACAATTTACTATACTTCAAAAAGTTTTCAAACATGAGCATAAATTATTTATTCAATTAAGCCCAAATGAATTAATCACATATTAAGAACTTGCCAAAAGATATTATATGTCAAGAATTTTAGAACCAGTAAGACCCAGAATTCTTTGTTTTTTGAGACTGAGTCTCACTCTATTGCCCAGTACAGCGGCACAGTCTCAGCTCACTCCAACCTCCACCTCCTGGGTTCAAGTTGATTCTCCTGCTACAACCTTCTGAGTAGCTGGGATTACAGGCATGCACCACCACACCCGGCTAATTTTTGTATTTTTAGCAGAGAAGGGGTTTTGCCATGTTGGCCAGGCTGGTCTCGAACTCCTGACCTCAGGTGATCCGCATGCCTTGGCCTCCCAAAGTGGTAGGATTACAGGCATGAGCCACCGCGCCTGACCTAAGACCCAGAATTCTTATCAGTAGTTTTTTTCTAAGGAAATGATCTAAGGAATGCACGAATATTTAGCTACAACAAAATTCATCAAAGCACTTATAATTTTTTAAATAGCAATTCTTCATTAGTAAGAGATTAACTATGGCATGCCATGAATGGAATGTTACGCATTGTTGAATACTTAATAACAAGTATATGATCTCAGGGTAATTAAAGCTCACTGAAAGGACTGAACAGCATAGACCAAAAGACGTGGTTATTTTGGGTTATGGAATTATAGGTGATTTTATCTTCTTTTCCATGCCTTCTAGTTTTTTTTTTTTCTTTTTTTTAAGACGGAGTCTTGCTCTGTCACCCAGGCTGGAGTGCAATGGTGCGATCTCAGCTCACTGCAAGCTCCGCCGCCTGGACTCAAGCGATTCTCCTGCCTCAGCCCCGAGTAGCTGGGATTACAGGCGTGCGCCACTGCATCCAGCTAATTTTTGTACTTTTAGTAGAGACAGGGTTTCACCATGTTGCCCAGGCTGGTCTTGAACTCCTGACCTCAAGTGATCCCCCTGCCTCGGTCTCCCAAAGTGCTGGGATTACAGGCGTGAGCCACTGCACCCGGCCATACCATCTAGATTTTCTAAAACAAACATTTTTATTACATTAAGGAAAATATAAAATTTATCTTTGAAAAGATATGAAGGAAAGAGAAAATGCTTCATTTTCTTCCCCAACATTTTTCAATAAACCTTTTTTGCTCTCCTTGGGGATGGCTGACATTCTTACCGATTGACTTGCTAGTGCCAAGTTCTCTTTTTCAACAGAGGGCTGGGCACTAAGGGGTCCTGTCTTTTTAGAAGTGACCGACTCAGCTGGTTTCTCTGAAAGTACTGAAGATGCTGTAGTTGGAATAACCTCATGACGCTGTGTATTTGTTTTCTCTGCTGATTTAACTTTTCTTCTTGTATCACTTCCTTCAGTGCTTTCAGAGTCATCACTAATGGGCTTGAGCTTTCTTCCTGGCTGTGTAAAAGAAAAAAACAGCAGTACTTATTTAGAAAATAGAAATGCTTATAATTCTTACTGTAATAGTAGAAAACCATATATACAGTCCACATTACTCACTTCTAAACTTCAAAACTGAACATAATAGGAAGACAGCAACATAATTAATGGATAGGACAGGAAACCTAAATCAAAGGTTACAATAAACACTCCCAACAATTCCCTCTGCCTTTTAAAATCACGACCTAACCACAGTACAAGAATGCTATGAAAATTGACAAAGTACACAGAGATGTGAGACCTCTTTAATGAAAAACACTTCAGATAACAAAAATATTTTGCTTTTTACTATAAAAGTATATTCTAAAAATAGAACTTTATGAAAAATGTTGCTATGGAATATTTTCTCTATTTGCATCCAATCTAAAGAGGAAATGAAATATTTTACAGAACATTTTCTATTTGAATCCAATCAAACTATATTACAAATTAAAATAGAAGAGCGAATACTCCTACATACCTTTTTTGCACTAATTTTTACAGATTCGATTGCACTTGCTTCATTTCCAGAAGTGTCTGAACTGTAAAAAGTACAAGTCATCAATATCTTGTACACATTCCATTTATATTCGCATGTCTTCTCTAACTTGCTCATCCAACACGAAAACAGACTCAATTTAGTGAGGAAATATCCTACTTGTCACATACAAGCCTGCCATGTTCCCAGGTTTACTGCTGCCTCCCACATCTTCCCATACCCAGGCCACATGAGTTTATCCCAGGCAAGCAAGTAACCTGTTCCATTACTGCAGCACCTGTGGTGATGTCTGAGAACTGCACTTTTCTCCAAGTTACCAGTCCCAGGCATATGGGCCATCATTTGTACTAAAAGCTAATCCACTAGGCCCATCCTTAGGTGATAGAAAAGGGAACACCTTTTATCCTTTAAAAAGGAAAAAAATAGTCCTAACTTCTGATGGGATATGAAAATTCATCTTTTCATTCTGTTCAATACAACAAATTTATTTAACACCAACCTCAAAATACAAAGTACAGTGAATAAAATTACTTCAAAATTGAGAGGTTTTCCTTCAAAGGGTTCACTGTCTAGTAGGAAGGCCAAAGATAGTGCAGAGTGATGACCTGGCAAGCACCTGACAGAGAAGATGATGTGGAGACACGGCTTGGGTATTAGGAAAGGCATCACAGTTATGACACTTGGCGGTGACTGGTAAAAAACTTTTTTCAGGAAAACAAGTGTGGAGAAGGACATCTAAAGCAGATGGAAAAGTTAATGTAAAAGCATGGTGGTGTAAAACAGCCTGGCACGTTCAAGAAACGTGCAACAGAGCACGGATAAAATGTATTTTCTAAGAGAAGATAACAAACGCTCGGGAAAAGCCAAAGGCTATGAATGAAGGGCTGCAGGGTACCCACATGGGCATGCTGCATGGATCTCCTATGGTCAGCGCCAGCCTCCAGCTGCAGCGTCTTCTAGATCCACTGCAGCATCTGGGCAGAGGCTATAGCTGTGGGCAGTCTCTAGCCAACAAGTAAGCACAGCGAGGGTCTGGGGCCTCGACGTTTCTGCCTGATACAGGTCAGGCCTCCTTTTAACAGCCCTCACTCCTCCAGAGCTCCGCAGTGGCTTGTTCAGAACTGTAGGCACTGCAGTGCAATTTGAGGCCATCTCTGCCCCATCCTGCTTATTCCAACTTTACCCTTCACAGATATCACTAATAAACCCCTTCCATTCCTAACTGCCTCAGTGTCTACTCACCCAAGGATCCCAACTGGCACAGGGGCCCTCTATGCCATGCATACAGACAAAGGAGAGCCCTAACAGGACGTGGACGTAGGAGTAAGACGAGACTGGGGTTTCAAAAGATCACTCTGGAAGGTGTATGGGAAGGTAGGCCAGAGGGAGCTGGCACGAGAGATAAGAACACCAGACAGGAAACTACCGCAGGAATGCTGGTAAGAGTGAAGTCCCCAAACCATGGCAGCCACAGGGAGGTGGCAGGGTTGTGGAAAGGAAAAACGGATTCTCAAGGCAGTCACAGGCCAGAAAAATAGGACTGGCCAGACAGAACATACCAGGACTGATTCCCAGATTGCTGGATTGGAGGGGACTGGGTGAATGGCAAGACTATTAACCTAGAGAATACCAAAAGAGTTCACTGACACTAGATGAGAAGGAAAAGGAGCTCAGTTTTGCCTTTGCTGAGTGAGGTGCCTATGGGCATCTAGAGAAATATGGCCAATGTGCAAGACATCTTGGAACTCAGGAGAGGGTCTGGACAAAAGACAAACTTGAGAAACGGTGGCACACAGGTAGTTAAAACCATGAGCGTGAACTGGGGTTGGATGGAGAAGAGAGGGCCAGAGAAGAGAGGGCTGAGAACAGAATCACCTACACATAAAGAAAAAAAAAACAGGAGAGGAAACAGCCAGGAGCAAGATGGCTGAACAGAGGGCTCCACTGATTGTCCCCGCAGGAACACAAAGTTTAACAACTATCTATACAAAGGGAGCACCTTCACAGGAAACAAAAGTCAGCTGAGTACTCACAGTGCCTGTTCTTGACTTCCTATCGCTGAAAGAGGCACTGAAGAGGGTAGGAAAGAGTCTACAATCGCTGACGCTACCCCTTCCCCATCTCCGACAGTGGCTGCGTGGCACAGAGAATCTGTGCTCTTAGCGGGAGAGCGCAGTGATTTTGCAGCTTTGCTTTGAAATCAGCGCTGTCCTTTAACAGCAGAAAGCAGAACCAGGCTGAACTAAACTGATGCCCACACACAGAGGGAGCATTTGGACTAGTCCTGGTGTGAGGGGAATTGCCCATCTTAGCAGTGGGAGGTAGAGCTCTGACAAGCCTTGCCACTGTGGGCTAAAGTGCTCTGCGGCCCCACGTGAGCCTGAGGGGCAGTCTAGGCCACAAGGATGGTAACTCCTAGTGCTGAGCTGGGCTTGGAGCCAGTGGACTGTGGGGGCATGAGACCTACTGAGACACCAACCAGTGTGGCTAAGGGTGTGCTGGCATCACCCCTCTCCCAGGCCCAGACAGCACAGCCCATGGCTCCAAAAGAGACCTCTTTCTTCTGCGAGAGGAGAAGAGAGAGAAGAGTGGAGAGGACTTTGTTTTCCATCTTGGATACCAGCTCAGCCACAGTAGCACAGGGCACCAGTCAGGGTCATGAGACCCCCTAATGCAGATCACAACACCTAAGTCCTTTCAAATATCTGGAAAGCCTTCCCAAAAAGGATGGATCCAAACAAGCCCAGACTCCAATGACTACAATAAATACCTGACTCTTCAATGTCCAGACACTGATAAACATCCATAAGCATCAAGACCATCCAGTAAAACATGACCTCATCAAATGAACTAAATAAGGCACCAGGGACCAATACTGGGGAAACAGCAGATACGTGACCTTCTAGACAGAGAATTCAAAATAGCTGTTTTGAGGAAACTCAAAGAAATTCAAGATAACACAGAGAAGGAATTCAGAATTCTATCAGATCACTTTAACAAAGAATTGAAATAATTTTAAAAAATCAAGCAGAAATTCAGCAGTTGAAAAATGTAGCTGACATATTAAAGAATACATCAGAGTCTCTTAATAGCAGAATCTATCAAGCAGAAGAAAGAATTAGTGAGCTTGAAGAAAGGCTATTTGAAAATACAGAGGAAAAAAAAGAAAAAAGAAAAAACAGTCATGAAGCATGCCTACAGGGTCTAGAAAAAGCTTCAAAGGGCAAATCAAAGAGTTACTGGCCTTAAAGAAAGGTAGAGAAAGGCGGGTAGAAAGTTTATTCAAAAAGGTAGTAACAGAGAACTTCCCAAACCAAGAGAAAGGTATCAATATCCAAGTACAAGAAGGTTATACAACCAACACCAAGCAGCTTTAACCCAAAGAAGACTACCTCAAGGCATTTAATAATAAAACACCCAAAGGTCAAAGATAAAGAATCTAAAAGCAGCAAGAGAAAAGAAACAGGTAACTTACAATGGAGCTCCGATATGTCTGGCAGCAGACTTTCAGTGGACACCTTACAGGCCAGGAGAGACTGGCATGATATATTTAAAGTGTTGAAGGAAAAAAACTTTTACCCTATAAGAATATATCTGGTGGAAATATCCTTCAAACATGAAAAAGAAATAAAGACTTTCCCAAACAAAAGCTGAGAAATTTTATCAACTCCAGACCTGTCCCAAAAGAAATGCTAAAGGGAGTAATTCAAGCAGAAAGAAAAGGACATTAATGAGCAGTATAAATCACCTGAAGGTATAAAACTCACTGGTAATATCAAGTACACGGAAAAAGATAACACTGTAGCTGATGTGTGTAAACTACTCTCATTGTAAGTAGAAAGACTAAAAGATGAACCAATCAAAAATAACAACTTTTCAAAACATAAACAGTACAATAAAAGTAAAAACAAAAAGTTAAAAAGTGGGGGAGCAAAGTGAAAGTGTAGAGTTTTTATTAGTTTTTTTTGGCTTGTTTATGAAAGCAGGGTTAAGTTGTTAACGGCATAAAATAATGGGTTATATGGCAGTACCTGCTAGCCTCATGGTAACCTCAAATTAAAAAAAACAACAAATACATAAAAAGACCAAGAAATCACACTGCCAGAGAAAATCACCTTTACTAAAAGCAAGACAGGAAGGAAGAAAAGAAGAGAGGGCCACAAAACAATCAGAAAACAAAAAATAAAATGGCATGAGTAAGTCCCTGCTTAGCAATAGTAATACTGAATGTAAATGGACTAAACTCTCCAATCAAAAGACATAGAGTGGCTAGATTGGGGGGGAAAAAAGACCCAATGATTTGTTGCCTACAAGAAACACATTTCATCTATAAAGATACACACAGAGTGAAAATAAAGGTACGGAAAAAGATATTCCATGCCAATGGAAACCAAAAAAAGGGCAGAATAGCTATACTTATTTCAGATAAACTAGATTTTTGAGACAGAAACTGTAAGAAGAGACAAAGAAGGTCACTACGTAATGACAAAAGGGGTCAAATTCAGCAAGAGGATACAACAATTTTAAATATACATGCACCCAACATTGGAACACCCAGATAGATGAAGCTAGTATTATTAGAGCTAAAGGGAGAGACAGACCCCAATACATTAGCTGGAGACTTCAACACCCCACTTTCAGCACTGGAGAGATCTTCCAGACAGAAGATCAATAAAGAAACAGCAGACTTAATCTGCACTGTAGACCATATGGACCTAACAGATATAGAACATTTCATCCAACAGCTACAGAATACACATTCTTTTCCTCAGCACATGGATCATTTTCAAGTACAGACCATGTGATAGGTCACAAAACAAGTCTTAAAACATTTTTTAAAAACTGAAATATCAAGTATCTTCCTGTGGAATAAAACTAGAAATCAATAACAAGAGGAATTTTGGAAGTTATACAAACACACAGAGAAAAAAAGTTAATGAAGGACCAGTGGGTCAATTAAGAGATTAAGAAGGAAGCTGAACAATTTCTTGAGACAAATGATAATGGAAACACAACATACCAAAGCCTATGGGATACCACAAAAGCAATACTAAGAGGGAAGTTTACAGCTATAAGTGCCTACATCAAAAAAGAAAATCTTTAAATAAATAACCTAATGATGCATCTTAAAGAACTAGAAAAGCAAGAACAAACCAAATCCAAAACTAATTAAGATCAGCTTTTATAAATAAATGTATAAATTTACCTCAACCCAATAAAGATTGTAACTTTGCTTTTAACTTAACAAGTAGCTCTTAAAAGTCATTTAAAAAAATGAGAAAACAATGAGAAAAGTTGCATTTATACCTCACAAGAATAGAAAAGATCAAGGATTTTAATACAAATCATACAAGTTCTAAAAGAAAACATGAAGGGAGACATCTTCCTAACTATGACTCAAAATCCCTAAACGCTAAGAGTGATAAATATATCACCGTATCTAAATAAAACTAAACATTTTCTATGTTGGAAAAAAAAACACCACCATTAGGTGTTTTGTCAAAAGACAGATGAACCAGTTAAAAAAAAAAAAACTGTAACATAGGGCTCATCTCACTAATGTTTAAATGAAGTCATGAAGAAAATGACCAACATCAACTATAGTAAAAAGGATATAAACAGTTTGCAGAAAGACAAATTCAAGAGCTTTTAAATAATTGCTGTTCAATCATTCCTAAGAAGAATACAAATTAGAACTAGGCTGGGATAGCATTTTTGACCTATCACATTGGCAAAAATCCAAGTTTGATCTCACTTTGGTGGCAATGTGGCAATAACTATAAAAATGACAAACACATTTCATTTGACTCAGAATTTCACTTTTATGACTATCTCCTATAGATACACAAGCACAAGTGTGAAATGGCACTCCCAGTGGCACTGGAAGTGAGAGCACAGACTGGAAACAGCCTGACTGCCCATTCACACAGGACTGGATAATCACACTAAGGAACACTCATGCTGTTGAAAGGGTAGAACAATGAGAAAGCTCCATGTGTATTGACATATAAAGATCTCTAAGATGCATTAAGTGAAAAAAGCTAGGTAGCAACCTATGCTGCCTTTTGTACACAAAAAAAGGGTTAAAATGTGTTTCATATTTACTTTTATATGCACCAAGAAATTCTGGAAGGACATATGAGAAAATAATAAGGGAGAGGGAAGAAGTGGGTTCTAGGAGCTAGATGGATAGTAGACATGATATGAAGACTTACTATACACCTTTTTATATTTTTAAACCATGTGAATGTTTACTCAAAGTATTCCTCTTTAAAAATTACATTCACCACTATTTAGAGTGCATGTTTTCCAAATGTATGACTTCTACTGATTTTCAGTAACATATAAAACTGGAGTCAGCCAGGAGCGGTGGTTAACACCTGTAATCCTAGCACTTTGGGAGGCCAAGGCGGGCAGATCACGAGGTCAGGAGATCAAGACCATCCTGGCCAACATGGTGAAACCCCATCTCTACTAAAAAATACAAAAATTTCGCTGGGCATCGTGGCATGCGCCTGTAGTCCAAACTACTCGAGAGGCTGAGGCAGAAGAATTGCTTGAACTGAGGAGGTGGAGGTTGCAGTGAGCTGAGACAGCGCCACTGCACTCCAGCCTGGTGACAGAGTGAGTCTCCAAAATAACCAAGTACTGTAAAACTTCCCTAGGATAGACAGTCTCAAAATGACTTCTCAGATTTCTGCCCAACTGGAATATTTGTTTTAAAACTGCAGTTTTGGCCGGGCGCGGTGGCTCACGTCTGTAATCCCAGTACTTTGGGAGGCCAAGGTGGGCGGATCATGAGGTCAGGAGATCGAGACCAGCCTGGGTAACACGGTGAAACTAGTCTCTACTAAAAATACAAAAAAAATTAGCTGGGCGTGGTGGTGGGCGCCTGTAGTCCCAGCCACTCGGGAGGCTGAGGCAGGAGAATGGCGTGAACCCGGGAGGCGGAGCTTGCAGTGAGCCCAGATCACGCCACTGCACTCCAGTGTGGGAGTCAGAGCAAGATTCCATCTCAAAAAAATAAAGAAAGAAACAAACACTGCACTTTTGATACTTGCTAAATACATTTAGTAACTAGAACTGACCTATTACCCAATAGAGGTCCGTAAGTCAAAAAGCTGCTCTAGATAACAACTTAAAATGAGTACTACAGTTATCGAAGAGTTCTGCATTATATAACTTGCTCCCAAGTTTTCTCTATGAAATCATTTTTATAGAGATTTTCCTGACCTATACGTTCACATAAATCTGAAAGACTCAAACCAATGCGCCTCAGGAACAATGCATCTGAAACAGGCTTTGTATTGCTTTGTAATTATCACCTACCATATACAAGGAAACATCTCATTTGTGATCATTAGAGTTTGTAAATGAAAGAGACCTCCCAAAAATCACCTAAAATTTTATGCTTATAAAATCTTTCCCTCCTTTCTTATTTGACTCAAAGCTAAACTATCTTCCTAGGCATGATTTCTAGGATAATCAGGTGTGAATTCTGTCAGTTATCACAGCTATTATAATTATCATAATTGTCAATTATTAATACAGTTTTTATGCCTCAGTTCTCTTGAGAAAAAGCATAACAAGTTGGCTCAAAGTATCTTAAAACACTTTCTTTTTATTAGCTTCTATCTCAGAAATCCCATTAACCATGAATAAACAATTGCTTGAATATACCAGTACCTTATTTTTGCTTCTTTTCCTGGAGGAGTTGAAGGGATAGATAGTCCACAAAGTTTGGAGAATTCTTCTTCATCAGCATATATAGCTGTGCTATGTAAAGGAGGATCTTTCAAAAGACAAAAAAGAAGACAACTTTAAAAGTCTGGCTATTTGGGCAATACTGAAGTTTATTCCCTTACAATGGAGTACAAAACAATCTTTGTTCAACTAACAAAATCAAAATCAATTAAACAGGCCACTTCCCAAATGTTTTTGATCTCACACCTCAACAATAAAAATTTTAAACCCTATCACCAACAAACACATGAATATTTATGAATAATAAATCTTTATTACCGCACTTATATGGAATTATTTTTGGTGTTTGAAACAGGGCCTCACGCTGTTGCCCAGGCTGGAATGCAGTAGTGCGATCTCAGCTCACCGCAGCCTGGAGCACCTAAGCTCAAGCGATCCTCCTGCCTCAGCCTCCTGAATAGCTGGGACTACAGGCACATGCCACCATGCCCAGGTAATTTTTAAATTATTTGTAGAGACAGGGTCTCACTATGTTGCCCAGGTTGGGGAAATTTTAATGAGATAAAAATATAAATCGGAAATCTAACATTTTCTTTCCTCATCCCTGTCAGGTGTCATACACTCTGCATTAGAGACCACTGCATTAAACTATAAACTCTACAGGCCTAGAGAGGTCACCTCACAAAGTGCCCTGCATATAGCGGTCATACAGTATTTTTGAATGAAAAGCCCTTTGGGGAGATTCCAGGCCTCCCTTACTTCCTCTCTGCTTTACTCTGGGATGCCAGAGCCTTTAGATAGCATATAAAGGTACCTTGAATGAGGAAGAAGATAAAAGAGAAGGAGAGCAAATGGACTTGGTGGAAAGGCATAGAAAAGAGATGCTAAGAGGAGAAAGATGCTCCTAGCGGGTGCTCAGGAAAGAGGAGTAACAGGAGAGATCCAAGACTTATCGCAGGGTTAGAGAGCTTGAAGAAGAGGTGGCCAGTGGTGACAGAACTAAACTGCTGTAAGGGGGCCTGGTAAGAGCCAAGCAACCATTTCTTCATGCTCAAAGTTTAGCACGACAGTGCAAACTTCAACATTTTTTCAAATAAACAGCTGCTTAAATAATGAACATATCAACTGCACAATTTTTAAGTTAGTAGTATACTTTGTATTGCCCTCAACAAGGCAAAGGGATTTATTTACTCCATTGCTGTGAATAACAAGAGGGGGAAAAGAAATAGAACAATCCCAAATGTTCACAGATAACCACTCATATAAACCGGATTCTCACAACTTCACAATAAAAAGACAAATAATCCAATTTAAAAACGGGCAAAGGGTGAACAGAAACTTCTTCAAAGAATATGCAAATGGCCAATAATCATGTATAAGAGGGTCAAAGGGGAAAAAAAGCAAATGGTCAGCCATAAGCACACTGAAAAGGTGCTGAACACCATTAGTAATTAGGGAAATATGAATCAAAACCATAATGAGATAGTACTTCACACCCTAAGCTTAGGCTAGCTATTATTTAAAAAACAAAAACAAACACACACCCAGAAAATAAGAAGTGTAGGCAAGGATGTGGAGAAACTGAAATCCTTGGGCACTGCTGGTGGGAATACAGGCACTGCGGAAATGGTGACTCCTGAAAACATAAAATATATATGATCCAGCAATCCCATTTCTGGGTAAACGCCCCAAAGAGGGGAAAGCAGGGACTCAAACAGCTATTGATACACTCATGTTAGTATTAATAGCAGCATTATTCACAGTCAAAAAGCAGAAGTAACCCAAGGGTCCATTAACAGATGAATAGATAAATAAAATGTGGTACATACAGACTGTTCTTCAACGTAAAAAGGAAATTCTGGCTGGGCGTGGTGGCTCACGCCTGTAATCCCAGCAATTTGGGAGGCCGAGGTAGGTGGACCACCTGCGGTCAGGAGTTCAACGCCAGCCTGGCCAATATGGCAAAGCCCCATCTCTACTAAAAAATACAAAAATTAGCCAGGCGTGGTGTGGAAGGGAGGGGAGCGCTTGGAATCCCAGCCACTCGGGACGCTGAGGCAGGGAGAATTGCTTGAACCTGGGAGGTGGAGGTTGCAGTGAGCCGAGATTGTGCCACTGCAGTTCAGCCTAGGTAAGAGAGCAAGTCTTTGCCTCCAAAAAAAAAAAAAAAAAAAAAAAAAAAATAATTCTGACTCAGGCTACAACACAGATAAACCTCAAAGACATTATGCTAAATGAAATAAGCCAGTTACCAAAGAACCAACTATTGTATGCTTCCTTTCACATCAGATTCCTAGAAAGCAGAATGATGGTTGCCAGGAGTTGAGGGGAGGGGAGAACGGGAAGTTGTTTAATAGAGCGTTTCAGTTAGGAAAGATGAAAAAGTTCTGGAGATGGATGGTGATGATGGTTGCACAACAATGTGAATGTATTTATCTGCTACAGAGTTCATACACTTAAAAAAGGTTAAAATGGTAAACTATATTTTACCACCCATACCCCCACCAATACACTCATACCCACAACGAGGCGCGGGGATGGCTAGAATAAAAAACTCGGTAAGTTTCAGTGAAGCTGTGCAGAAATGACAACTCTCATACACTGCCATGGAATTATAAAGTCATGTAGCTGCTTTGTAGAACAGTTCCTTAAAAAGTTAAAAATAGAATTACCGTAGGACTCAGCAATTCTGCTCCCACTATATGCCCAAGAGAAGTGAAAAAAGCCCACACAAAAACTCATACACAAATGTTCATAGCAGCATTATCCATAGTGGCCCAAAAATAGAAACCACCTAAATGTAACTGATAAATGGATAACAAGTTGCGGTATATTCAAACAATGGAGTATTGCTGAGCTATAAAAACGTGTAGGAATGAAGCAGATACACACTACAACATGGATAAACCCTGAAAACACAAACTAAGTAAAAGAAGCCAGTCACAAAGGACCAGAGTCTAGGATTCCACTGATATGTACAGAAATGGCAAATCTGCAGACAGAAAGGAGATTCATGGCTGCCAGGGGCCTGAAGGAAGGGGGAAGAGGGAGTGACCACTCATGGGTACAGGGTTCTCTACAGGATGATAACAATTTTCTGGAACTAGATAATGCAGACAGTTGTACAACCTTGTGAATAAACTAAAAACCAATGATGTGTACACTTTAAAAGGGTGAATTTTATGGTATGTGAATTCATTTCCATCTTTTAAATTATGGGGTTTTAGGTTCAGATCTTTTAGATTTAGATTTTAGACAAATAGGACATTTTTATCAAGTCATAATAAAAGACATTATTCTGGTGAATATATTTCACCTTATAAAATGTATAATATTTTCTTTTATTAACAAAAAATTAAACCAAAGCCTTCAAAATTCTCTTAAAACTTATTCCAGCAAAAATGCCTGACTACTACAGTTCTAGATGTGGGGGCACATGGCATTTTCTCTGTCATTTCTGGCCTCTGGAGTGCCCAGTGACACAAGCAGCCCACCCTGACAACTCACACACTCCTGGCCAGCCAGGTACTGACCTTTTACCTCATACTCCAAAGGAACACAGGTGAAGCTCTCCCACTGGCTCTCCCAAAGCACCCCCTGCCTCCATGAGTTTAGGACAAAGGAAAATTACCCATACTCTTCTCCTCCCTAAATTAATGGCTCTATCAAATGGCAGAATGAAGTGAGAAATGTATTCTATGTTCCTCTTGTTACACAGTACTATAGTAAGTGTCCTCATGTGACTGGATTGTTAACGAATACCACTAGAAGAGTGCCACCACTTTGATAATGTTCTTAGTTTCAATGTACCTAGACGTGAGAAAAATTAATTCAAATTATCAAGTACTCCCCAGAGAACATTATATTTACATGCAGGCAACTAATTTTTATATTTGAAGATATTTCTAATTTTTATTATATCTGGCCTAAATGTTGTTGCTTTAGAGTTACGTTAGGATAAAGATTTAAAGTACTAACCAAAGGTCTCATCAGGTTCTTCATCTTTCTCATTTTCACCCAGCCTGCCAATGCTTGAGACATCAGAATTATCAGGAAAGTCGAACACGTCAATAGGCTTGCACTTTTGACCAGCTTTCTAAAAGTGAATGAAGTTGAAGTTACTGAGTTGGCTCTCACAAAGAACAATAGGCTGATTTATGCAGCAAGAATATTCTTGTAATCACTGCTGCCTAAGGAAGCAATCCTTAAGCATGGGGTGATGGATTCACTACCTACCCCGATTGGGTCATTATACAACATAGACACGTATGGCAAGATCAAATTATACCCCACAAATGTGTACAATTACAATGTTTCAGGTAAAATAAAAAGAAAGAAGCAAGCTAACACTTTTTGGGGACACAGACTCTTTTGATAACCTAAGGCAAGGATTGGCAAACTTTTTCTATAAAGGACCAGAAAGTAAATTATTTTAGGCTTTGCAGGCCATAAGGTTTCTCTTTTGACTACTAACTCAACCACTGTCATGTGAATGACGACAGTAACCACACAGAAAAGAATGAGCATGGCTGTGTTCCAATACAATTAGACTTTTAAACACTGCAATTTGAATTTAATATCATGTTCACATGTTATGACATAGTCTTTTTATTTCAACCATTAAAAAATGTAAAAACCATTCTTAGCTTGCAGGGATATACAAAAACAGGTGGCAGGCTAGATTTGGCCCATGGACCAGTTTGCCTACACCTCTGACCTAGGGAAAGTGATGGGTCCTATCTCCGGAAATATGCCCATATACCCAAAAGTTCATAAACAGTTTTAAGGGTACACATGGGTTAACAACTCCTGACTAAAGGACACCAGGGTTTACAGTTCAATATACTGATATGCCCATGAAGTCTGCTACCCCAAATCTAATGAAACATGAAAACATATATAAAATGAGAAAAACTTTCATGGTAGTTCCGGAAAATGTGGAAGGGTAGTATTAACAGATACGAAAATAAGAAAATTCTGGCAGGTATAAAGCAGGTAAAATAAAATTGGCAAACCATATACAAACTTGACCATTCAGATGCCCCCAGTAAAAGAATCATTCCTGGAGTGCTTGTGGGTGGAATGCAAAGAGAGCTGGCAGGTCTTCCAGCTCCTCCCAAGGCATAGGGGGCCTCCACATGTAAGGCACTGCCTTGCAGAGGGAAGGCCAGGAAAGCTGAATCCATTCCAGGAACTCTGGGCTTCCAGCCAAGGCTGGAGCTTAGATAAATCCCTCCGATGCACACTGGACTTTGGCTACTAATGGCAGGGGCAAGGCAGGACAACTGAGAGAAACCCACCCAAAGAACCCGCGAAGTAATGCTGGGGTGGGAGCAGAGCGCTGAGCAAAATCCTGCAGGGTGATCCCAGGGTTTCCCAGAGGGGAAGAGAGCTATCCTCTTCAGGCTGTAGTTAAGGACTATGCAGGACAAAGAAAGCTCAGGGCAGAACAAGCAGAAGTAACTCCTTCCAGGGTGCCTGGCACTGTCATACACTGTTAATGTGAGATTACAATGCCAATCACACAAGCCACTGGAAAAAATATTGGAATTAGCAATCAAGAACATTAAAGAAATGTACACACTTTTCACATACATTTATTCTAGGACTCTAAAGAAAAGTAAACCTGTAATGTGAACTAAGTGGAGTATCATGAAATCATAAACAATTCTTGAAAAGTACAACAAGAAATGGCTTTAAGTGAAAAAAGTTGACAGCATTGTACAATTTTTACATGATGCCAATTATCTAAACGAAAATAAAACCAACCTAGGCTCAGAAATAAAGGAAATTCTAAAACATTAACAGAAGTCATTTTATCCACTATACTGGAAAAAGTGTGAGGAAAATGAACACACTTTTTCACTACAAGAAACATTGAACTTGCCAAGTGAAGTCTACAAAACTGAGGTACTCAAAAAATGTTATTTTGTACTGTTAATTTTGAGAAAACTACAACACAAAAAGATAACTTACATCTTTCACGGAATGTGTTCTTTCTAAAGTGTTCTTCGAACGTCTTGCACTATTAAACAGCAAAAAAAAAAAAACCCACAAGAGTTATGAAATAGTTAAAATAACTGAGGAAACACCATAGTTATGATCCTTTCCACACATTTTTACAAAAAAAAAAAAGAACCCATATTCCACAAATTTATTTTTTATAGGTCAAATCCTATCACCAATGTTATAAAATAACATACCTCTCCCCCTCAGGGACATGGAAAAGTTGGAATCTTGCTGTTAACTTTTTCCCTGAGGCCTTAATCAATCAGCAGTGATTGACTTTCTCTGCAGAGCTGAACAACAAGGGGAGGTAGGCTAATGCTAAGTCCGGACACCTGCTCCATCCTGTGCCTGGCTCTCGTATGTCCTTTTCTCATTTAATTCTAATAGTCCTATAAGGTAGAAGTGAATCCCATGTTACAGATGTATGCTTGCCCACAGCAACACGGAGCCAGGAGGGAGACAAGCCTGCATTAAAATTTACATCAGTTCAAATCCAGGGCCTGCCCTCGACCTCCCTTCACACTCTCTCAGTTGGGCCATAGCTTCAAACGATAAAGTTGTATATATATCTTCAACAAGCTTCAAGGAAACAGATGTAACAATGGTGACTAGAATAAAAACGAGAAATAACAGTGGCAGGAATTATATATTATTATTACTAATAGTGCCAGGAGTCAGTGAATATGTACAGACTATCCTCCACCAACCAGGCATCATACAAGGGTACGGGGGGATACTCTGGAATAATACAGTACATAATTCCTGACTTTAAAATATGCCATGCAGATTGTAGCCATATTTTTCTCATTTGTAGATAGTAAAATCAGCCTAGTGAGTCTAAACCAATGTTTTAGTATCCTTTTATTTGATATCATTTCAAGCTCACAGAAAAGTTGCAAACAGTACAAGGACCTTCTGTATGCCCTTTACTCATTTGCTGTGTGCGTGCGCGCGTGCATGTGCGTGTGACTGGAGACACTGTGCACCTCCACCCCTAAATACCATAGTATGTCTTTCCTAGGAGGGCATTATCCTGCATATTCATGGTACAATTTCTAAAATCAAGGAATTTAACACTGATACCATAATCTAATCTACAGTCCATACCCAAATCACATCAATTGTCCTATAATGTCCTTTTAAGATTGCCAGGCCAGCATTTTAAAAAAACAAACAAAAAAAGGAAAATATAAAATGAAACAATGCACTGGATATACTATGTTCATAAGCCTTTTGTTTTGTTATGTGTGGATGTGTGCGCATGTGTACTAAGTGTGATGTAAAACATCATTACTGTGAATCACAGTTTAAAAAAAAAAAGTTAGAAAACTGTTCAGAGCGGTGGTTCCCAGACTGGAGTGTCATCAACATTCTCAGCAGGGCTTGTGAAACAGGTTGCTCCGCACCACCCCAGGAGTGTATGATTCAGTCCCTCTGGGGCGTGGCCTGGGACTCTGCATTTCTAACAAGTTCATGATTTATTTACTTAGTTCATGAAACCTAAGGAAGAAGGTAGGACAAGTACTGGTTTTATGGCAATTTTATAGATGATGATTCCGGGGTTCCTAAAATTTAAGTGACTTATCAAGGGTCACAAAGCCAAGTAACAGAAACACAACAAAAACTAGACCACATGAACTTCTTCATCTAAACTCTTTGAGCTGTCTTGTCCTTCCTTGGAGGGGGAAAAAAGTCAAGGTTCCTCCTTGCCTTAGGTTGCAGTCAAGGTGGGGCTTCTGAGAGATAGAAACCTCTGTGACAACCCACAGGTAAAATTTCTGGGCCAGGTGCGGTGGCTCCCGCCTGTAATCCCAGCGCTCTGAGAAGTCAAGGCGGGCGGATCATGAGGTCAGGAAATCGAGACCATCCTGGCCAACATGGTGAGACCCCATTTCTACTAAAAATACACAAATGAGCTGGACGTGGTGGCTCACGCCTGTAATCCCAGCTACTGTGGAGGCTGAGGCAGGAGAATCGCTTGAACCTGGGAGGCGGAGGTTGCGCCACTGCACTCCAGCCTGGGCTAGAGTGAAATTCCGGCTCAAAAAAAAAAAAAAAAAATTCTGTTGTATGTGCATTAGCGTGTTCTGGGAGGAGGCCTGAACAGATTTCATGAGTCTCAAACCCCCAAAAAGTTAAAAAAATAAAAATAAAGACAACAAAAACCACTAGCCTTTCGGATCAACTCTTTTCAGCTGATATTCAAGGCTGACATTCTTTTCTAATCCTCTTCTCCACTGGCCCCAGGAGTCTGGTCTCGGTTTCCCCACCTACCTGCGGGGTCCTGCTCCAGCTTTCCACCCTAACCCCGCATCTGCCACCTTCTCCAGGCAGCCTTCCCCGCCCGGGGGAACTCCCGTTGTCTTCAGACCGTCTTGGCGCATGGTTTTGTGCACGGTCCGCAGCGAGCCGAGACCCTTCCCGCCAGATCCAGGCCGGGCCTCGGATGGCCATTCGCCAACCAATCAGCGACCAGCGTTCTAAGCGCGTCTTGCAACCGACCAAACGCGCGCTGGCTTGGATAAACAACAACCGCTCGACCCACCCTGAAGAAAGGCCGGCGGCAGCTCGCTCCCCCAGCCCCGCTTGTGCTCCGGTCTGTGGTTTGCAGTCCGAAAACACCAGCGTCTTCAAAATAAGAAAACTGATTCCCGGAGAGTAAACTCCACTCACATTCAAGTCTGCCAAATCGCAGGCAACAAGTATTTGCTGAATGTTTTGCTTTCAAGCTAGCACTTCGACACTCACTACTCTGGACGGCACTACCGCCCCCCACAAAACGACACGACACTGGCTAACGTCTTCCCGCCCGCCAGGCGGGGTTAGGCCCGTGCGGGTGGGAATCACTCTTATCCCCACTAGTCTGACGAGAAAGCCGGGACCCGGGCGACTGGCCACTCGGGCGAGCTCCACAGTGGAGCAGGAACAGCGCCGGGAGGCGCAAACCGCGGCAGGCGAGGAAGCAGTTCAAGCTGGTCTCCGGCCCCGCGTTCTGAGGGTCGACAGTACTTACCCCTCAGGCCTGTGAGGCCGCGACCGCCGATGCCTCCCCCGCGGAGCCATGATGCCGCCCTCCGCTCCCGAGCGACTGGAAGCTCCCGCCAAGCCCCTCGCCGCTCCGAGCAGCCAATCCGGGCCGAGCACGCGCGCGTGCGCAGAACTTCCTGAGCGGGCCCCGGGCTCCTCCCCGCCTTGGAGCGGGAGGGAAAACTGGGCCTGGCTATCACGCCGCAGCGGAACTGAAGTCCATGCCGCACAACCAGTTGCCTACGGTCCATGTCATGCCAAAGTTTTCCGGGCTTTCCTCCCACCCGCATCGCCAGTTTTCCAGAGCCCGAAAGCCCCGGAGCCACGTGGGACCGCCCCCTGTGGGTGGGGAAAGGGGAGGAGCTAGTGTCCTTGAGCCTGTGGGCAGGTAAGTGGGTGGGCGCAGACCAGCGATCGCAGCTGGTGCCGCTGAGGCCGCAGTCGTCTTGACAGCCCCACAGGATTTGGCTTGCAGCCCCTGCTGCCTTTATCAGCTGTCTGAGCTTAGCACGTTACTTTACCTCTATCCCAGCACCTTCATTTGTAAATGGTCAGGGTTCCTTTTGTTCTTTTATTTTGTTTCTGTTTAAAAATGTGTAATGCAGAAGAATGAAATTGAACCCTTACCTTACACGGCGTATAAAAATTAATGCAAAATGGATCAAACACCTATATATAAAGGCTAAAATTAAAATTAAAACTCTTAGAAGAAAACAGAGCAAAAGCTTCATAACATTGGACTTGGTGGTATGATTTCTTGGATATGATACCAACAGCAGTTTGGGATGATGAAAACGTTTTGGAAATAGTGGTGGATGGATGCACAAGATGAACGTACTTGATGCCACAGAACTGTAAACTTACAAACGGTTAAAATGCTAAATTTTGCTGTGTATACTTTACTATGATAAAAAATTACGTTTCATGCATATAAAAGAATATAACGTGTAATGTAAGGATAAAAACAAACATCCGTGTAACCAGCACTGGATGGGGATATGAATCATTATTATACATAACTCTTGGGTACCCCTCTGAATGGCACCCTCCTCCTCCAGAGAATAACCACTGTTCTAATTTTATGTGTATCATTCCTGTGGTTTTCTACCTTGATATAGCCCCAAATAATGTATTGATTATTGCATGTTTCTAAACTTTATATGATATTTGGTAGGTATTCTGCAAATGTCCTTTCTTACTAAAGCTATTGCTTTTATTTTTTATTTTATTTTTCCATAAATTATTGGGGTGCAGGTGCTATTTGGTTACATAAGTAAGTTCTTTTTTTTTTTTTTTTTTTTTTTTTTTTTTTTT